TGTGTCTCACGGCAATGTTTCTCTCTCTCTCTTTTTCTCCCCTTTCTCCCTCCCTTCCACTCTCTTGAGAAATTAATGGAAAAAAATATCCTTGGGAAAGAATTTTTTAAAAAAATAGAAAAAAAGATGAGCATAGAAAAGAATTTACTGATTTGCAAAATGAACTTATAGGGAATAGAAGTCCAGAAACTCAGCCTCAGAGGGTTATAAAGCTAAACACATATAGATCCTAAACAGTAAGAGGGGAAAAAAAAAAGGTAAGTGTTTGAGGAAGAAAATCCCTAGAAGACTTCTAGTTGAACGAAGTGACTCAATCCTGAGGCAAAGATCAGATTCAGGTATAGTCTCCCAACACATTATTTCATAGAGCTTCAAAACAAAGCCATTAATGTAAGAAGGTGACATGAGGCAAGGGCTATCCTACCCCACCTCCACTACATCACCAAACAAGGGAGAAGAAAAAAAGTTCCTGAAAATTATATTTAGAAATGATGTCCACATAGTACCTGACACTGGGTATGATGTCCACATAGAAACAGATCAAAGGCCTACTAAGTTTTGAGATAACTAGCGTGCCAAAACCCCATAAATCTGGACTAAATAAATCTTTGACTGTTCATAGCCTTAAAACAACTTCCAGGCCCCTACACTTGCAGGAGCAGAAAGCAGGCAGAGGAAGGAAGGAAATTAAGGAGGGAAAGAAGGAGAGAAGGAGGAACTAAGTTGTAGATATAAATATAGATGGAGAGAGAGAAAAAAAAAATCTTCTTCTAAGGCAGGTACATTCCCCAGCATGGACTTCAGAAGAGCACATAGGAAAAAAAAGAAGACGAAGAAGAAGAAAAGAAAAGAAAAAGCAGCCGAAACCGGTTTGGCTCAGTGGATAGAGCATCGGCCTGTGGACTGAAAGGTCCCAGGTTCGATTCCGGTCAGGGCATGTACCTGGGTTGCGGGCACATCTCCAATAGGAGATGTGCAGGAGGCAGCTGATCGATGTTTCTCTCTCATCGATGTTTCTCTCTCATCGATGTTTCTCTCTCATCGATGTTTCTCTCTATCTCTCTCCCTTTCTCTCTGTAAAAAATCAATAAAATATATTTTTAAAAAAAAAAAAAATAATAAAAAAAAAAAAAAAGAAAGAAAAGCACTATGCAGCCAGGAGCCCAGGAGAGCAATGGGCAAGAAGTCAACATCTATGCAAGAAGTTCCCTCACTACCAAGGCGGAATGATTTCCCAATGCTGACCCAAAAGGATTACATGATTTGCTATGAAGCAGGTAATACTGTGTGTCTCCCATTATTCCCTTTTCTACATGGGAGTTTTTGTTGTAGTTATTGTATTTTTGTTTTTTTCTTATAAATTGGGGATGGTAGGGAATGCAGGTCCAGATAACTTGTCATCCTAATTCCTGGTCACCAGCCCTTGAAGAGACATATATGGATCTCATGGAGAATGTTGAGTATCTCTGGAAGATACCAGACTTTGAGATAGATGCAGTGACTGGGTGGGATATTAGGTTGCCACTCTTAGAAAAAGCCCAAGGAAGAGTGAAGAGATATTTGATAACCAGAAGGGTAGACTGTGTCAGAGACTAGCAATTATCTACCAAACCTGTGTCCTTCTCCTCTTAGAAACAATCAGATATCCTTTCCCAGCCTCCCTTGCAGGTCAGTATAGCCATATAATTAAGTTCAGGCCAATGAAATGTGAGTAGAAGTGATAATGTGCTGCATCCATGCCTAGCCCTTAAATCCCTCCCAAATGTAACACTCCTTGGTCTTTCCCCTTCTGCAGTAATCTTCAAAGTCATATTAAAGATGGCACAGGAAACATAGTGGAAAGAGTACTTAAGTCACCACTGTGAAGAAAACCATCAGAAAAACTATTTTGGGCTTGACATAAAATGATAAATAAACCATTTACTCTCCTTTTCCAACTTCCATGATTTCAAACAAAAATTTATTGACCATTATCTACAAAGTACGTGGTAGTTTCTCTCCCACCTACTTTCCTTAGCATTTGAGTATTACAGAAGACTAGAGGTCCTGTGCACAAAATTCGTGCACTCGGGGCAGGGGGGGCGGAGTCCCTCAGCCCAGCCTGCGCCCTCTCGCAGTCCGGGAGCCCTCAGGGGATGCCTGACTGCCACGAGTTGGACACCCTTAGCGCTGCCACGGAGGCGGGAGAGGCTCCCACCACCGCCACTGCGCTCACCAGCCGTGAGGAGCACTGAGCAGCACTGCCCCTGTGGGAGCGCACTGACCACCATGGAGCAGCTCCTGCATTGAGCATCTGCCCCCTGGTGGTCAGTGTGCATCATAGCGACCAGTCATTCTGCCATTTGGTTGATTTGCATATTAGCCTTTTATTATATAGGATTTTAAAAGATGCATGATATCTTTATTCAAGGATCTTATCCTATATAATGAAGCGGTAATATGCAAATTAACCCTCACTCCATCACCCGTCACAAGATGGCTGCACCCACAGCAGAGGCAGGGTTCCCGTAACGAGCTGTAATGAACAATCAGCAGGGACCTGAGGTTGCGTGGGGCCAGGCCGGGGCAGGGGACCTGAGGCTGCGCCCGCCCACCTGGTGGGGCTTGACGGGGGACCTCAGGCCACGCCCCCCATCCCAGCGTTGGGTTGGGGAACCTTAGGCCGCACCCCCTGCCCCAGTGCTGGGCTGGGGACCTGAGGGTGCACCAGGGGACCTGAGGCTACACCCCCCCCCAACCCAGCACCGGGCTGGGGGACCTGAGGCTGCGCCCCCCACCTGGCATGGCTTGACGGGGGTGGGGCTGGCTGGGTCTGGGTCTCACGTGATTTTGAGGTGCACACAGGTGGGCAGGGATTTGACTTTGGGTCCCATGGTGTGCCCCAGACTCTGACAAGAGGAAGATTTTCATATACATTTTACTAATTTTCTTTCATCTCTGACACTTCTATTATAGAGAAAGGGCAAATAGCAATATTAAAGTATTTCCTCTAATTCCCTTTTAATGTGCATGAATTTCATGCACTGGGCCACTAGTATATAATATAACATAGGATAATAATATATGCAAAATAGCTATAGGGTGATGAAATTTTTATTGGGAGAATGAAGGATTATCAGTTAATTAAAAGTCCTGAATTCACAAAACATTTCTTTAGATGACAAAAATATAGCTAACAGTAACCTTTTACATAGATAGAGTGCCACAGTAGACAAATTCACCTCAATCTAACCTGAATTCTACTATAAAATCTGACCTTTACAAGTTGTCTAAACTTGAGCAAGTCACTTCTCTGCCCTGGGCCTTAATTTCTACAGATGAATAAAGGTACCAAGTAATCTCACATTAAGTTAAATAATAATCTTCATGGAATCCTCTCTTTTATCAATAAGGAAGTCAAGTTAATTTTTCAAGCAAACCCCAAAGAAAGGAAACATTTTAAAAGGAAGCTTCCACAGTGGCTTTGTACTATACTCTCCTATATTCTGAAAGTTTAGGAAAAAATTAGTCAACTACAATAAAGACTTACCTTACAAGATACCTTTATTCCTATACTCAAAACATCACCTATGTCCTGGCCAGTGTGGCTCAGGTGGTTGGAGCATTCTATTCCTAGTCTGGGCACATACCCGGGTTGCGGGTGCAAAACAGTTAGAGTGAGCACAGGAGGCAATGTTTATCTCTTCTCTCTCACTCTCTCTCTCTCTTTCCTTCTCTAAATTAACAGAAACATATCCTTGGGTGAGGATTTTTTTTAAAAAAAGTCAACCAGCAGTGCAAAGGTATATTTTCAATGATTAATTTTGTTTCTTCAGCACTAAAAACAGATATGATAACATTATTTCTACCAGGTTTACCATCAATTAGTTTTAAACTTTCCACTCTGTAAAATATAACACTGACCAAATTAAAAAGAAGAAATGGAAATAAATATCTGCATTCCCTTAGGAAAGGGATTCTCAATAGGCAAATCTCCTCTGCAGAATCAAACAGACATCTGAGAGATTACCATATGACCCAAACATGGCCTACTCCCTCCTTCCTCACAGAATAGGAACCACAAATGACTTCTTCAAGAACACAGTTGTATGCAGAATAAAAAATTTAAAAAAAAAACTTTCCATAAATAAACGAATCCTCTATTGTTGCAGACTACATCATAAGGTATACTGAGAAATTTTAATAAAATCAATGTGACATATTTCAAAAAAGCAAGTAGCACTGCAAATCATTCCTGCTCTTTTATTCATAATACAAAAGAAATCCAGATACTTCTTGTGGTGTTGGTGACTTAAAGATGACGAAACTAAAGGAAAAAAATCTAAAGATTTCTAATATATTTGTTAATTTATAAGCTGTATATAAATCCCTTCTATGATCATAATTCACAGCATTTCCCATAGGCCTTTTTCATTGACACCCAATGATACAGAAATAAAAATTACAGAAATATTCAAATCTATAACATGACAGTTTGCTTACACAGTAAATAATCAACCAAAAATACCTGCAGCACAAATTTGCTCATTAACTAGAAAGAGAACTTTTAAAAATCTTGGGCTTCAAATCATATCCAAAGCCAAAGGTAGTATTTAAAAACAAACAAGCAAAAAAACAAAAAACAAAAACCTCATCAAAGCCCCAATATAAACTATTACAATCAATCAGTAGTTACTGAACATGCACACAGCAATATATATATATATATATATATATATATATATATATATATATATATATATATATATTTAATTCCTTTC